GTATTTATTATTAATTTAATACAATACGTGTTGTGCGTGTACTTGGCGCCTGTTTTTACCTTTTTTTCAAAAGGTAAGTTTTTCGAGAATAGTAAACTAAATTAAATTTAATCTCAACAATATATTGTACCACATTTATTTTATAGTAAACTAAATATATTATACATCACGTTTTAACATGTATGTTGTAAAATGTATTAATAAACTATATTATACAATAAATGTGTGTCATATATACTATACATCACGTTTTAACATGTATGTTGTAACATATAAGTTAGTGTTCTTCTTTTTTCAATACCACATTGTGTTTCTTCATTGGTTGGTTCAATATTAGGATCAATATTAGTATGAGTGTTTATCTCTGTTTCCATTAAATCGTCTATAAAATCGCCATGAGATATACAAATGTTATGTAGTACACAACAAACAATTATGTATCTAGGAATCAAATCTGTCCGTGTCATGGGTAAATTATCTAATAAACTCCGAAAACGTCCTTTTAATAAGCCAATGGCTCTTTCCACTATCGTACGCGATGAACTTAGGCGATAATTAAAGTTAAGTTGTGCTTCCGTTAAGTGACCGTTATTTTTGTAAGGTACCATGACATGTTTCTGTAAAGCATACGCTCCATCACCTAATATATGGCTATCTTCAGGAAAATGATCAGCTGTACACATTCCCTGAATGCCACTTAATCTGAATACTCGCATATCGTGAACACATCCAGGTTGTCCTGCGTAGCAGTGTATAAATTTTAATGTTGAATCACAAACAACCTATAAGAAATATAAAACATTTATGAATACAAATTATATATACATTTAGATATGTACGAGTATAATTATTTATATGAAATTTTAACTTACGTTTACATACTTACTTGTAATTGTATAGAGTGGTAACCTTTTCGATTAATATAACTTTCACTATCTTTTTTTGGTTTACTAATTGGTATATGTGTGCCATCAATAGCACCTACAACTTTTGGGAATTTGTAATTATTTTCAATATTTATCCATGTATATTCAGCCTCTTCTCGATTAGGCCATTTAATAATTTGAGGTGCCAGAGAATAAATTGCTTGACACACTCTTCTCACTGCATACCATGCCGTTGCTCGTGCAACATTAAATCGATCACAAACAGATCTATTACAATTTGTTAATATAACAAAGAATAAACACAATATATTAAGAGATATTTTAAGTACTTAAATATTAAGTACTTAAATATAAGAAAACAGTTAATGACTTATAAGTAGAATATACTTATAATAATAGATACTTATAATAAGATATATAGAATTTAAATATAAATGTAAAACCAAATCTTATTAAAAATATTAATAA